TATCTATCTATCTATTTATTTATTTATTGCAAGAGCAACAACAATCAAGCAGCAGAGATGCTCTATTGTACACAAAAGTTCAAAAAGCGAGATAAAACAATTTAAGTAATCCTGTGTTTTTATCCCAAACTTTATTCAAGCAATGTTACTCAGTTGTCTAACAAAAGAGAGTAGTATATTAAAGCTGATTATTTCTCATTTATCTGTTTTTTGTGAAGCATTTTGCATTCCTCTTTAACAAGGGCTGCTACAAAGCAGATTTGAAGCCTGGTGCTAGGTATCATGACAGAAAAAGAATGGTGTGCTGAGATTTGGGAGTAAACCACTACCCTGCTCCGTGAATTCTACATGGTATTCTTAGGAACTGATAAAAGCTTATGCTTGTGAAACATGTCGTCTGCTGTGATCCATATAAATTTATATGTGCACTGCCTTGTCAATAAAGAATAACAAGCACATGTTCAGAACACTGAGGGCCAAAGTAAAGCAGAAAAGTTAACATTAATGTCTTGACAAATGCCCTTTTTAAAATCTGGCAATTTTAAAATTCCTTTTTCTAATTTGAAATACATAATGGAAGTTGGAGGCAAAACTATTTTATTTCAAAACCAAAAGCAATGTTAAGTAATCTATAGCTGTTCTTACAGTTGGTACGTATGATTTACCCTTAGTATATTAAATGCTTATGTATTTGAAAAGTAATCTATAGCTGTTCTTACAGTTGGTACATATGATTTACCCTTAGTAGTATATTAAATGCTTATGTATTTGAGTGCCAGTTAATATGCCCAGTTACTGCACAAATGCTGTAGTAACTTTGGGGTGTTTTTTAAAAAGGAGTTGCATTTCATTTGAATCCAAACTTTCAAACTGACGTTCTTATAATTACATTACTATTTATATTGATGTATTCTCAAGTTAGGTTTTAGTCTTGTGCTGGCCCATCTCTTGCAAGGAGCTGCTGATTTCCCTAGTAGGAATTATCATCAGCTTTAAAACCAAAAATGTATGAAACTAAAACCTACTTTGCAAGACAGAAATGTTGAAGGGAACCTTAACTTGAGCACAACAATCTAGCAGCTTCTAGTTCTCAGCTGCATAATATACCTCCTCTCAGCATCTGCTACATATTGACAAGTGTGAGTAGGTGGTAATCTTAATTTTTTTTTCCCTCCTCACCAACCAAATGTCATGGGAAATAATGTTGAGTGGGTAATGCCCTTCTGTTTTGTTGGGAACAAGCTCGCAGGATATTCTTTTGAGACCCTCTTGTCACGGATCCTAATTGACTTGTGTAATTGAAAAGGGAGTATTGGTTCTCTCCCGTAGGCGGAAATAGCTGTCTGTTAAAGGTGTCCAACAGGGAGGTTACCTGTGGTCCCCAGAAAATCTGCAGGCGCTGTTCCTCTGCTGCCCCCTCAAAACAAAACAGGGAGATAATGTTTCAAAGGGTGACATTACCAGGATGTGGCAGTTGCATGTTGTTTCTTTAAAAAGAAAAAGTGAAGTTTTGAAAACAAGGATAAAACCCATCAAATTCTTTTTTGAAAAATCCACATGTAGTCTTTAAAGCTGATAAGTGACCTTTTACTAAAGGTGAAGGATGTCTTATACAGTCTCTGTGCTGTATGCTCTACTCATTAGCTTAGAATAATCGAGACCTCGTGAAGATCTTAAGTTCAGTAAGATTTAGCTGAAATTCCCACCAAGAAGTGCCTGAGACTGGGTCCGATAACCCCCAACTTGAACCTCGTACATTTGAAACCTGATTTTAGAGCATTTTGTTCAAGAGACGTTTTAAGGAAACAATATGCTTTTCTTGGCAATTCAAACAGAAGTTTCTAAAGCAGGCAGCTGAGCAAGAGCTTTTCTGAGGCATTTAGGATCTAATTAACTGAAGTAGCCCATTACAGCTTAGTAGATATCACCTAGGTCTGCTTTTCCACACTTAGTATCAGGTGGAACCTTTACTGACAATATTTTTCATCAAACTTTTAAACCAGCATTGGAAAAAAAAAATATCTTATTCCTTCCTGCTGCAGGAAGATTCCAGGTAGAGCACCTCAGACACAAGAAAAGTGGTGGGGTTTTTGCCCTATGCTTTTAGTTTCTTCACCTTTTTTTTTTTTGACATACATGACTAGAAATTAATTGGTTTTGACTAATAGCTGTGATTTAAAGAGTCAACATCTCAGTATTTCGGCTTCAGAAATTAAATACTTCCTGCTAAGTTAAAGATACTGGGAAACCTGGCAAAACTTAATTCTGTCTTAGCGATTTCTGTTGTAGGAGATGGGAAGACATCTTAAGATGTACTTCACAAAATAATTGGCTGACGCTGTGAAATAGTTCGTGTGCGCATCTCTGCTTACAAAGCAAAACCAACTGCATCTATCCTACCCAAGGAAAATAAGCAGTACAGTCTTGGAAATCAAAGAATAGGTGTATCACTCATAGCTCACCTGTCGGGAATGGAAGGAGTATGCTTCAAAGCCAAGCACTGCGCCAAGAAATTTTTGGATATTTAATGCTCTGGTTAGTCTAAGAAAGCTGAATTGGCTTAATCTCAGCACTGAAATCATAAAAATGAATCGTTGTGCTCCTGAGACCTGCAATGACAGTTTATAATGCCTAAGAGATGGGTATGCGTTCATCGTGCCCCTTGGGAACTCACAGGATTGCCGTGTCGCAGAAGAAGCTGGAGGAAGACGCAGCACTTACCTTCCCCCTTCCGATAAGGACATTGTTCATTCTCTCACGGGTGAAAACTTGAACAGAAAGTACACATTTATGTTGAAAGGACAGGATGCAGACGGCAGGCTGGAGGTTAGTGGGTCTTACAGACCTCCTCCCTCTGCTCTGCTGTCAGAAGTTGACTGGGATAGAGTTAGAAGTAGCATTTGCTGTTGTTTCTCCTCTCTGTTCACTAGAAAAACGTGTTATTGAATGCTCCACCTAAGCACGATCTAGTGCTTCTGTGGTAGAGAGCTGGCCGTGTCTCTAGATACAAATGCTGCACGGTGGTGCTCTAAGTGAACTTCAAACACTCATTTTAATGAACCACCTTGGCAACTCCTTTGTCTTAGGAACTGATCTTTATACCAGACAGTGCAGAGCAAATCCCTGTGAAGGGAGATAGAGCTGTATCCTGAAAAGGGTCTGGCTAACAGCTGGTATGGCTTCAAGCTTCACCTCTATGGCAGTTAGCTGTGTTTAGTCACCTTCTGATTGTCTTTTATATTTTTTTTAGGAGCTCTCATCTTATTTCCTTGTTTTTTCTTCAACGCACAGCGTTTTCAGGGTTCTGTATTGTCTGTGTGAACTCGTAGTATGTTTATAAGGTTGTGTTATAAGGAGTTACTTGAGATGCAGCCCAAGATGAGCCACTGTTCCCTTGGAGGATTTTTGACTTCTGAGTCTGTGTTTGCTTTCCTCCAGGTGATGATAATGGGAAGAAGGCCAACAACCCCAACCACTGTAACTGCATCATAGACCAAATCTTCACAGGCGGACTGCAGTCTGATGTTACCTGTCAAGTCTGCCAGTAAGTAATTTTATTCTGATTCTGCACTCTGATTTGAATCCATATACCCTCCAGTGCAACAGTGTATTGTATCGTTTTTTTTCTTGAGTATCAATAAAATACCAGCAAGATTCCAGTAGGACAAGATATTTAAATACAGCATCAGCTAAATGCAATCAGTTACCAGTTAACTGTCATATGTTAATACATACCAAAAAAAACTACATGGAAAGTACCACAGGTTTATGAACATAAACTTTTTACTAGTCTGTAAAAGGTTGTTTTCCAAGTTGATGAGGAAAAGACTTCCAGGATATTTGATTCTGAAAGTATGTCATTGCCACTACATCTGAAGAAAATTCTGATACACAACCATATTTTCCTTTGGTTAGAAGCCTCATGTATCATCAGGAGAGATTTCAGAGAGGCTGATACCTAATGTAGTCTGGAGTATCAGCAGGTAAATGTTTTTAGGGAAAAAAGTATTTGTTCTGCTCTGTGTACTGAAGCAAGTTGACTTCTCTTTCAAGAGAAATTGCATCTTGCATTTTTCATAATTACTCAGACGGTCCTACAGATGGACTGTTGTGCTGTGCTTGTTTGAATCTGCTTTTATTCTCAGTTTCCTGGAGAGATTTGCAGAAGATCTGCTGTAAGAAAAACATACGAAATTTGTTCTTTGCCTGGTAGAGCCACAGAATCCTTACACGATAATGGAAAGCTTGATGTGTTATGACACAATATTAGCATTGATGAAACTTTAACAAAAGACATCTTCTTTTGAAAATTGACAACTTTTGCACGAATGAAACTGGAAAAAAGGCAGAATATTGTAGGCTTAATGGGAGTGCAGAGTGAAAGACACTAGTTTTAGAGGGAAAGATTTTTTGAAAGAGAAGTCAGAAAATAGGCATAACGAGTACAAACAGGAAACTTTTCCAAACTAGGAGCTTAGACCCCTGGAGTTCTCTTAAAAATATAAATGCCGGAAGAAAATATTTGAGTCCAATCAAGTCTTGTAGAGAAATCTGATCAAAACATACGCTACTTCTTGATGCAGTTATTCTTTGTCCTCTCAAATTCCAAATGCTGTAGGAGATGCTAATACGAACTGTGAAGCTTAGTTCCATGCACTACTGTACAGCAAAAGTATTTGACACTCTCTCTACTGAAGTAGCCTGAAGCACCATCTTCCATGTCTTGACCAGAGAACCGTGCTTCTAAACTAGTAGAATTGCACGCAGCTGTCGTCACAAATGTTAGCTGGTTTATACTGGACGGTAGTATGACCTTTGTCTCTGAGTAGCCCAGCTTGTTCACTTTGAGTCACAGGGCTTCCATGAGTGGAAGCATGTATTAAATGCCTATATCTTGTGTTTAGTACATCACATACCTTGGCTAAAACACGTGGCTTTTAAATATTAAGGAAAATCAGTCGGTTGGGAGAAAACACTCTGGAGCAACTACATTTTCTGTCATCTTTGAGTGCCCTCTAGGGGTGATGTAGATCCCGTAGTTCTTAAAAGTAAGTATGTGGTGTGTACCATAAAGTGAGAGAGACTGTTAATTTTCCTTCCTTTAAACTGCTCTTAAACTGCTTTCTCTTTCCTAGTGGCGTTTCCACAACGATAGACCCGTTTTGGGACATCAGTTTGGATTTGCCAGGCTCCTCCACCCCGTTCTGGCCACTGAGTCCGGGGAGCGATGGCAGTGTCGTAAACGGGGAAAGCCATGTGTCAGGCACCACCACTCTCACAGACTGCTTGCGAAGGTATGACATGAGACAAATACAATTTTGGTGGGGTAAAAAAAAAAAAATTGCCTTCTTTCTGTTCTCCAGATGCCACTGAACAATGGGATTAAGTGATGCTTTGCCATGACGTTATTCCCGAACAGCATTTTTATACCTATTTTAGTTTTTTGCATAAGAGAAGGTGAGAAGGTAAAGCAGGCTCAGAGCAACAGAAAGCCTAACGATAAACAATCAGAACCAGTTGCCACGCGATGCAAAAGAAACAAATTTTACATTGACTATTGCCAGGCAATGTGGTTTTAAATGATTGAAACCACTAGAGTCTGTCTCCATGTTCTTGGTTGTGTCAACTAAGCAAGCACATAAAAAGAGTTCACAATGCATTTAATATTTGTCTGAATGATAACACCGAAGTATGAATCTTATTTGGTTCTAAGCAGAGCTGAGCGTCAGCTACTGTCAACTTAGTTGTGGGGATGGCATTGGGAATTAAAGGAATGGAACTTTCAAAAAGAAAAGATAATTCTGAGCAGAAAACTTGGGCATCTTGGAAACAGGTAACTGGAGAGAATGTTACAGCTTCATATTCAGTTAACTTGCATTTTTTAGCAGATCTTAAAGTCATTCTCTTGTGGCAACTGTAGGTGTTTGGCAAAGGTATTTGAAGAGGTTACCTGTAGCCTGGGGTAAAGCTAATCCTCCCGAAATAAAAATTCGCAGCCTCTGACATCTGATTTCTAACCTTCATGATACTTTTAAGATCAATAATTTTAAGGAAACAAGGAAATTGGTACAAAAGAGAAACTGCTGATGTAGGAATGCATCAAGAGGCAAAACCAGTCTAATTTTGGTGATTTTCTTCAACACTGGGATTAGTAGAATCAGAGAGAGGTGATGATAGGGAAGGAAAAACATCCAGGTTCAAAGATGCTCTCAAAGAGTATGCATTTTGAAAGGAAGTTGAACTCTAATGGATAAAGAGGATGAGTCTAACTTCTTAACTCAAAAAGTTAGCAAGCAGGTTGAATATTAGATTCAAACAAGGAAGATGTGTAACTTCATGTCAACCACTGCAGCCATGCAACTTGAAGTTGGCTTGAAGAAGGAAGGATTGAGCAGGAATATGACAAAAAAGTAGGCACTCCTAACAACAATAACAAAAAATGTATGAGCCTTTTTACAGACTTGAGAGAAGACAAAAAATATATAAAAAAAAAAAGCCCAAAACAAAACCAGAGAATGGTGATGCATAGGCTACCTAAAGGAAATCTTGTTAATTAAACAAGAGGGGAGACCAACAGGCTGTGATGGTTATTTAATGCTGGAGACTTCATTGGCCATAAACAGAATGAGGCAAGGTAGGGTTAGGGACGAGCTGATACCGTGTTGCTCTCATGTGCTTAGTGTGTGCCTTAATGTAAAATGTTCAATTATATTTAAAAAATATTTCATCTCAAAAATCCTAGTTGTAAAGCAGCCTCTGGGGAGAGGATTCATTTGCCCCATGGAAGTCTAAACTTGGAGGAAAAGACTTAGCAGTCCATCCTCCTAGGCTTTTCTGTGCTGACAGTTGCTGAAAAAGTGAGAGATGTTTTGCTTCAGTGTGTTGTGAGAACACAGAGGTAGTATATTTTTCTCGATGCAGTTCCTTATTCTGTAATGGTCTCTTCTATAGCTCCCTTGAGCAGTTCTGTCTGAAAATTTTGAAAGAGATTTTTCTAGTTGTCAACACTTGGGCTTTCTTGGAAGATATCTATATTTTGAAAAGAACTTTGTGTTTACAGCCCTTCTCATCTCAGAGCTTTGATCCTAGCCCTGGAGGGCTACAAGCTGGAAGAGTGTCCTGCAGATACCATGCAGCTGAGCACAGAAATCGTGTCATCTTGCTTCAGAACCTCCATATAAATGTTTTTGGTTTTGAAAACAAAAGATCTTTGCTTTTTGTATGAAAATGAGCTGTCCTGTTGTAGCAGATGAACTAATATTTATCTCCTTTCTCATACACTGATGCATTTCAGTCCAATGTTCCCAAGTAGAGCAATGATAAATGTCAGATTTGGACATCTGAACCATAGCACTTGACATTATTATAGGTGTTGGGTTTTTTCAAAATGATGCTTAAAAGCCATGAACTCTGTCTCTTGTGGTGCCAACGACCCACAAATAAAATAAGTGTTTTCAGCATATGTGGAAAATCATCTGATTGTTTCGTGCATCCTTTTGCTTTTCAATATTTTTTTCAGGTTTACAAGGCCAGAACATCTAGGAAGCAGTGCCAAAATCAAATGTAGTGGTTGCCATAGCTACCAGGAATCTACCAAACAACTCACTATGAAGAAGTTACCCATTGTGGCCTGTTTTCATCTCAAAGTAAGTTCACAGGGGGCAGACAGAGCAGAGTACACGTATTCCTCTCTGAGAGGATAAGTTAAATTCCTGGACGTATCTTCTGGCTTTCGCTGACTAATCTTTTATGATATAAATTCATATAAAGAACAGCTTGCATGCCCAGCTAGATTTTCTATTAAGATAGTATTACATTATCTATAATGTAGCTTTGCAGTATGTCTGTGGGAACCCAGCTAGTCAGAATCTAGAAACAAAATGGAAGGCTAGAGCAATACCTGAACCCGCGGAGAAACCAATTTCCAGTAACACTTACTCATCCTGCAAGGTAAAATTTTTACCCTACACTTCTACTGGAAGAATGCCACAGAACTCTGTTGGAGGAAAAGCGTGAAAAAGTTATCGGTTGCAGTGGAGAAGGCTGCTTATATCTTCCCAGCTGCGATGCTTTCAACATTTCCGATCCTGGTGACGTCAGATGCAATGATGGGAGATAATGTCATAGTTGGTGCTCTCAGAGAGCTTAGTCCTGTACATACTCTTTAAATTTAAACAGTATGACTGCTGTGCCAAGCAGGCAGCTATCACAGAAGGTGAAGATCATTCTGTGCCAAGAGGCAAAGGGTCCTTGAGAGGTGATGCCACAGGCCTTTGTGAAGCAGCCACCATAGTAATTTAACTGCATCTTTGATCTGCTTGAGCTTTTCAGATGCAGACCTCTGAGGTCTTGAGTGATTCCTGGGACAGAATGACAAAGTCCTCTCATTGCTAGGCAGCAGCTGATGATCACTGGCCTCAGCTCTTACTATGACCAGTGTTTCAAGAAACTGCTTATCTGATGATGATACTAAGGGCACATAAGCTACATAAAGAAAAAGAGCGTTTTACCGATGACCGTGGTGACTAGAAACAGATTTTAAGAAGTCAGCTTATGTGCTCTGTACAAACAAAGACTTGTATTGCTTCTCTGTCCAGCTGAGGAATGGCAAATTGGTAGAACACAAGCTCCAGAGACTTTGTTTAGTTGTTCAATTCTTACATTGTTTCTAGGCTTTAAACATTGGTAAAACACCTGGGTAACTTTAATAGTGTTGGAATTAGACCTTTATCTTGTAGCTGTCATGGCAAAGTGCATGCTGAACGTTGCTGTAACATGTGGGCAGTTTTTCTGGTTTAGTTTCCAGTATCCTCTAAGCTAGGTCAGTACATTCATACTGGAAAATCTAATAATCTGTGTAACTGTAGCGTCCTATAGTGTCATGGTCTAACTTCGCAAGTCACGGACTGTATTCAAGAAATAATTGTAGTTTGGAATTATTAAATTACATAGCAACGCCATATCCAGCGTAGCAGCAATTTAAAATTTATTTTCAAAATTTAGCTTGTACAGAAGCTTGTTAATGAAATGTAGAGGTCTTGACATGAAAACAGAGTGCCATAGGAAGGTCTCTATCCACGAGAAAAGATTGATTCTGCTTTCTGCTGGAAAAAGGTGTTACAAGTGGAAAGAATTTCCCCTTCTGTAATTCACATGCCTTTCAGACTGTTTGGGACAATCATGCCTTCAGATGTTCACCCTCGTGTTCCAGCAATTCTTCAGTTGCATCTTGACTGTTAACGAAGACGATAGGCAATGTTATATGCCAAGGATATCAGCCTGACTGGAATAGATAGTAGCACAGTTCCTTTGTTGTTCTTTGGCTGTTTATGGTCTTCGTGGAAAAAAAGGAATGTCATAGAATCACAGAATAGTTTGGGTTGGAAGGGACCTCAAAGATCGTCTAGTTCCAACCCCCCTGCCATGGGCAGGGACACCCTCCACTACACCAGGTTGCCCAAAACCTCATCCAACCTGGCCTTGAATGCTTCCAGGGATGGGACAGCCACAACTTCTCTGGGCAACCTGTTCCAGTGCCACACCACCCTCAAAGTGAAGAATTTCTTCCTTAGATTTAATCTAAATCTCCGCTCTTTCAGTTTAGAGCCATTTCCCCTTGTCCTATCACTACATGTCCTTGTAAAAAGTCCCTCTCCAGCTTTCCTGTAGGCCCCCTTTAAGTACTGGAAGGCTGCTATAAGATCACCCTGGAGCCTTCTCTTCTCCAGGCTGAACAGCCCCAACTCTCTCAGCCTGTCTCCATAGCAGCAGTGCTCCAGCCCTCGGATCATCTTCGTGGCCTCCTCTGGACCCGCTTCAGCAGCTCCATGTCGTTCTAATGTTCTTCATGTCATTCTGCATGAGATTTCAGGAGCGCTTGGCCAGTTGCTTGGCTTTTAGGCGGGGTTGGGGATGCTGGGCTCTTGCTTTTACTTTGACATTGCTTTGTCCAAAGAGCAGAATTACTTAGGTGAATCTTGCCAACTACTCTGCAATAACAAAGCAAAAACAATGTGCTCAACCCCTTTCCTACACTAAGTTCAGTAGTTGTGTTATCCAGATGACTGAAGCTTGGTTTGTTTGTTTTTTAAAATGAATTACTTGTCCTAAGAGGTTCTGTTGTCCTGTTCATGCAAAATGCAAATTTCATTTCATGTGTTAAGGCAAAAAGAAACACAAGAGATAGAATTACAGAAGTCTCAGCTTTTCTACGTCTGCATCTGTTGCTAGGGAATTGTTATGGCACCACAATTGGAAAATAATTAACTTGAAGTGTAAATAGAGTAGAATTTCTGAGAAATGGGGAGAGAAGCTGCCTTTAAATAGAAACTCATTCATCTCTTTCTGTTATTTGTTCCTGTTTCCATTTAATGTTCAATCAAGAAGATGAGGAGAGGATGGTGGGTATTGCAGGCTCCTTTTGGCGGAGGGACAAGGCGTTTTTATTGCCGTATTCTATTTTTGCCTTAATTTGAGTTGGTGCTCCTGTGTAGGCTTGACTCCTGTCACTTGAGATGGTTGGATGGGTGGATGAAGTGTGTGAATCCAGTGGCAAGCTCTCATTGTCACCGGTTTTGTGTGCTCGTGTAGGCAGCAGTAGTGTGCAGTACAAATGAACACTGGTTTGGGTAAAGGCTGTGTGTGCTCTCTCTGTTTAATATTTTTTTTTTTCTTCATGTCAGTTGGGAATAAGCTTGTGTGTATGGATATTAAGGTAAACAATCTAATGAATACTATATTTTTCCTTCACAAATTGTTCCTTATTTTCCTGGTAGAAATGTTTTGGCATTTACATGGGGAATCTTGGTCCAACTAGTTGTTAGGAAAAAAATCTGGGAGTGTCCCTGGCTACTGACTGCTGATATGCTTTCACGTCATTGTTCTTAAGCTTAGGACATTTATAAAGATGGAAAATTTAGCCTTTCTCTAAAGAAAAAAAAAAAAATTCTTCCGCTTTGTCTCCAGCGGTTTGAACACTCAGCCAAACTGAGGCGAAAGATCACTACGTATGTCTCGTTTCCGCTGGAGCTGGACATGACACCATTCATGGCTTCCAGGTGTGTACCAAGTTCAAAATCCCCCAAAGACCTGGCCAGAACTGGTTACCAGTTCATACATGTGCACCATGAAACATGGAACATCCTTGAATCAAAGTTATTGCACAGTATGTATAATGATACTTCTGTTGTAAGCTTCTCCTTGAAATGTGCATCTTTTCTAAACTAATTTTTAGACAAACTGTTGAGTTTTGTGTGCCAGAAAACACTTTATATTTAAACATTTTTTATTTTGTTGTTAATGTGTGTTAAGTTTCTGGTTGCATGTTAAATTTACAGACTCAGATCCATTGTGCCTTCAGATCTCTGCTTTGGTCCCATCACCTGAGTGCCCACCCACCAGTCAATTGTGCAATTAGGCAGACTAGACATCACCTAGTGCTTAACCTAGTATTTCTGAAGCTATAAAAATCCTTCCTTTTTATTCTGGCATACATGCAAATCTGGAGTTTTTTGGTTTGCACCTTCAACTTCGGTTTAGAGAGTGCTGTAAGAAGAAAAAACATACTCCAGATTGAAATATCTATTTCTAATAGATATTTAAACAGAAACACCTCCCAGGTTTGTGAAAGACATGACATTTATACAAATATACCTTTATGAAAGGAATTTAATAGCTCAGTTAGCAAGTATTTGTCAGGTATTCCATTCAAATATACAAGAGGACAGTCAGATTTAATTTATATCTGAAGCAATGCAGAAAGTCCTAAAAGATGGCATCTCTTAACACAGGGGCTCTATTTGATGCTAAAACTTTACTAGTAACTTCAAGCTTTGCTGGCCTCGCCTTCCCCCCCCCGCTTCCCCTCAAAAAAAGTAGATACTTCTGCCTGGAAGTAAAGGAGAGCCCTGAAGTGCTCTCTTAAATAATATTATATTAAGAATATATGGTTTATTCCAGTATATTCTGGAGGTTTCGAGACTTCCCTGTTCCTCTGTGGTGAATTCTCCCTGGATAGAACAGGCTCTGCTGATGAAAGGTATCAAGCATAATGGAATATAGATGGGATAATCAGCAGGCATAACTCAGTAATCTGAATTTCATCGGCTATGAAATCAACAGCATAATCCTATTGCTGCTGTCAAAACACAAAATGAATTTACAAGTCAGAGCCAGGATGATTGACCCATCACAGGATAAAGGATTGATGTAATTAGATATTTTTCCAGGTTTAAAATACAAATCTTTTCTTAACCTGTTTTTTAGCTTTTTGGATAGGACATTTGATGCAAACAGATCTGTATTTGCAGCACTGAAGCCTTGACCAGGAGGAGAAATTGTGTTTCTTGTGTAGCATTGCTGTGAGAACAAATAAAGCATCTTTAGCATCCTAATCAGCAGCCTTTCTCTGCTGCTAAGCAGCGTTGTGCTTTTGAGTACGGACTGGTGCTCAGCAAACTGGCTGTGTCTTGCAAAACCTTTTTCCTCGCTTTGGGAAGCCACTGCTTTAAGTGACTGGATTTTTATGTGTGTTGCAGTAAAGAGAGCAGAATGAACGGGCAGTACCAGCAGCCGACGGATAGTCTAAACAATGATAATAAGTAAGTGGTACATTCCGTGACTCCTATTGTGGAAGGTAGTTGGCTTCTAGAAGGAGATACACAGTCTGCTGTATGTTCTGCAATGCGAAGTGCATTACCATATTTGACAGCACAGTAAGTTTGAACTGCTGCAAAATAAAGCTGAAGTCTACAGTTGCGTACTGTTTTTTGGCAGCTGACTTTCAGATCTGAAGGTGAGAACACCAGCAATCAGTCTATGGACAAAATTAAAAGCTGTGGTTACAGTATGAAAAAGGATGGGTGGTTCCTTTCAAATAACCCTATTTCTATTGCAATAGCAAAGGGAGTTCCAGAGGACTGAAAGAAAGTCTGCAGAACACTGACACTCCAAGTCTCAAGTAGACAACCTCAGTAATTCTGGGGTCTCTTGGTCAGGTATTGATTCCAGTCACATAAATGACAGGATGATGTGGGACTTCAAGAATGTGAAGGGAGAGTAATTGAAACCAATATCCATAGCTTTATGGGAATAGAGATGGTCACAGAAACCTTACCTTTTTTTTTTAATAAGGTTACAAGTTTGGTTGCTACAGTCGTGCTGATTTTGTGTATTTAAATTTTTCAAGGCCCTTCATTTGAACTAAAAGTTTCATTAAGAATCTGGAATCACACAATGGATAGATTTAAAAACTCGCTGACTAGGTCTTAGTGCAGTTGTCACACAAGCAGATGCCAGGCAGATGTTATGTGTGATCCTGTAGCAACTGCCTGATTAGATGTATGTGGTTCAACAGTGTCAGCAAAGATCTGAAAGAAAACACACCTGATCACTGTTGAGGTTTGCACATGACTTAAATTGGAGAAGTTGTTAACAATTAAGAGGATTAGATAATGAGAGCAGAGACATCTGGGCTGCTTAGTGAGCTGGATGCCAGTAAACAGCTGAGGCAGTCTTAGAAGCTTCCAGCTAGGACTAGAGTGGTGTCCATCCTAGTTGGGTTGAAGGACTCCACTAGGAAGAGGGTGACTTTATAAATCAATGGCTCTGTAGACAGTCAGCTGAATAGGTGCCTTGTTGCAGCACCGTGTCAAAAGAGCTCTGTGAATTTTGAACATAGGTAGGACAATATCAAGTGAGATTAGAGAGATTATTTTACCGTTGTGCAGCTGTGTTTATATCCCAGTTTGAGGATAACATTTTAAGAAAGAGTTAAAGAGAGCAGAGAACACTAGAAAAACAGCTGCAAGCATATTTAAGACTGGAAACAAAATCTTACCTTAGAACAAAATAGCCAAGGACTTCAGTCTTCTTTTTAAGAAAAGAAATGGAAAAAAAGTTAAGAGCAACTTGATGAGTCTGTCACTATCTTTCTTCAGAACAGAGGTGCGTCTGCTAGTTAGGAATGCACAGCAGCATCTGAAAGCTGAGAATATATTCAGTGTTTCAAAATAGTACAGACTTTCCAGATTAAGGACAATTAATCAGTACAGGACAGGAATTTGTCACCAGAAGTATTTCAGATTAGCTATGTTTAAGATTACCTCCTTCCCCATCCCCGTACCTCAAATGTATTTTTCTGGTTCAGTGGAGTAACTAATTGAGGGAAATATGTCACACTGGAAAGTCAGTGGTCCTCTTCAGGGGTGCATCAATATTGATCTATTTTAGAAGAAAAATCTTTGGTAGCCAGTATTGGTAAAGCTGGTGGATGTCATCAGGCTGGGGTGTTGCAGTAATAGCAAGATAGAAAAAGAAAAATGTGGTTCTTTTCCCTGGGCAAGGATGTCCTCTTCCCAGTTAATGTTAAGAGCTGGTGGTTTATTGGTGGATCAGGTCTTTACTATGGCTGGATGAGTTTATAAACGCAAGCTTCTACCTGTCTAAAATGTCAGTTGTGTTTTCCCTTTTGATCCACTTATTCATAAACTCTTTTCTGTACCAGGTATTCCTTGTTTGCAGTAGTTAATCACCAGGGAACCTTGGAGAGTGGGCACTATACCAGCTTCATCCGGCAGCACAAGGACCAGTGGTTCAAGTGTGATGATGCCATTATCACCAAGGCTAGCATTAAGGATGTGCTAGACAGCGAAGGGTAAGTTGTGAACTGGAAAGGGGAAAGAGGGAAAACTCTGACCTTTGCTGGGTTTTCCTTCAGTTAAAAGACCCTTTCATCATAGAGAAGACTTAATTTTGCTCTCTTTGAATATCTAATGGCTCTGTGTATGTATCAGTTGCTTTATAATCCTGGATTTGTTGAAGAAAGAAGAGGGGAGGGATGAGGGACATTAGCTGACTTTGCATGTCTGTAACTGGTGCTCATGTCCAAACTTTTGCTTGCTGATGGAAGGGACTGTGAAAACCAAAGTGGTGTGGTCATCCAGTGTCGGAGCAGGGCTGTTCCGAGTGTTCACCTCCATGACACAACCCAATCTTTGTCTGCAGAACCTCTGGATTACTATGAATGTAAAATATTTGAAGAAAAGCTCTTCAGAAAATCCTGTGAACCAGAGTGGCAAGGCTGTGTGGGAGGCAGAGACAGAACATGAGCTGTTTCTGAGCTCATGGCTTTAAATTGATTTCAGATTGACATTATGGTTTCAGATGTTTGCATTAGACAAGCATTGGCCGTGCAGAGCAGTAGTTTGCAAGGGAAGCATCTTGGTGTTCCTTGTTGGAGGGAAGAATTGGAGACTGGTATATATGTTTGAAGAATTAGAACTTAAATTCTGAAGTCTTCATTTTGCATTTTCAACTATGGATTTAGTACTGGAAAAATAAGCCTGTATCGTTCTTTTAATTATTCCTGCCATTTCCACTGAAATGCGCTGCAGGCACAGACGTTCAGTTGGTAATTTTTTTTTTTAGCAGATTTTCCCATTTTTTGAACTTAAACCAGGAAGTAAAAAAATCTGTCCTGTAATATCTGAATTTTAGTGTTAAATAATTTGAAAAAGCAACTTGTGCTTTTGAGGTCAGTGGAAAAATGAGTTTGTTTTTCTTCAATAACAAGTGGGTCCTCAGATGGGATGTGTCTGTGGAATAAACTGCCACAGGCGAGGAGGAGAGGATATGCGATGCAACTGCTGCCCGTCCGTCTCAGTAAAGGCTAGTTTGAGCTCCAATCCATTGTCAGATCAAGGCTGACACTAAGTGGATCTGCACTGTGTAAAGGAAGCTCCATAGGGCGTGAGATGGAACGGTAATAACTGGAAAGTCTCAAAAGTGCTTTGAGAGTCATGCAGTGACCCCATCAGTGTGTGGCATTTAAGGAGTTACGTAGAGATGAGTCCCCTTCTCTCTGACATGAAGCTACTTGAGGGCTGGGCTCTGCTATGTAGCAGTACACATAAAGTAATTAAGGGCAGGAAGAATTTCGTCCTATTAAAACACCAGATTTCAGTACAGATTGAGACATTAGGTATTTGAGTTGGATTTGATTGGGACGCATGAGTCTTCGCCCACGCCTGGTTCTTCGGGGTTTTTTTCTGTAACAGTAAATGGCAGGCAGTTAGCAGTAATCCAGAGTGTCTGATGCTTTGGTGATGTGACTCTGAACCAACAGTTGCATCTTCAAGCATCTCTGTTACATTTTTTGTCACTGTAGTGTTAAATGCATGTGGTCGGATCTTCCGGAGCTTTCAGGTTTTAAGTAAATGTACAACAAGAGGGTTTGACTGTTCGAGGTACAACTGTTCGGTTTCCTGAGTTGCTGGTGAAATTATTTCAGCTGACTTCCCTCCTTCTCATCCATGGTTACTGTAGGGGAACTGGCATGTCCCTGGAATTGCTTCAAATTGAAAAGAAAAACATAATTAATAGTCCTCGTTTGTCATCGTCACATCGATGGAAATACTAATCTCCTGTGATGCGCAGCAGAAAGCTGAAACTGTACCTCTGCTTTCTTGCAGATATTTGCTGTTCTACCACAAACAGTTCCTGGAGTATGAATAGCCTTATCCAGCAGCTTGTCAGATATAAACAAGGAAGAAAATAAGCAAGCCTTCTGAATCGACACACAAACCTACCTGAAATGAAAAGACCCATTAAAAACCAACTAGCACTGAGCTGTAACAGGACCTACTTGACACTGACTCAAAGCCTGGCGGAGTAAGAAATGAACAATGTCCACCGTGTATGCAGTCCCGCAAGGACAGAAAGGGGGGAAAAAAAAAAAGAGGCTACAGTCAGTCACTTAACAGCGGAAACATAAAATGAAAGGAATGCTCTGGGTGGGGGAAATGGGAGCAGAGGAGTCTGGGCACTGGTACATCTCCTATGTTCCTCCAAAATGTGTGTGGGAAGGCAAAGGGTTATACCCTCATCTCCATAAAGCATCTTCTCCATTTGGTGCTTCAGCTCCAACGACCAATCATACAACAGTTAAAATTAAAAATCCAAGCCCATTTTTTACGCATATGGGTCTGAAAGCAGTAGAGTGGAGGAGGAGGGGATGACACGACTAAAGGACTTTGCAAGTATCTTTTTATTTGTGAATTTTAGTTATTAAATAAATACAGTATGAAACTATTAGGCTCTTTTTTTTCCAACAACCATAAAAGAAATCCTGGATTGTGGAACTGAAGCTACAGTACTGACAGGTTTTCAAGCATGCCTGCTTGCACAGGTAATGTTTAATGCCATCGGACTGCTCATCAAAAGCATCAGCACAGATTCTTTTCTGTTTGAGCCCTTTTTTTGTTTTGTTTTCTATAAATAGCTATTTTCTTAATTTTTTTCCTTTTATTCCCTTTTTTCACGAGAATGAAATTCATAAATGCAACCATCAGTAAAAATGAATGAATTGGCGTGTTTATACTGTAAGAGTGGTCTTGGTTCTTTTTTTAAATCCTGTGAATAAGTTTGAATTTCTCAAAAGTGCTTGTTTTGGTGTTGCTGTTTTTGGTTTCGTGGTTTGTTGGTTGTTTTTTTTTCCCCCTGCTGCCTTCCAAAGGCGTATATCTGTGCCACTTGAGAGAAGCTCGGTATTGAAAAATGTGCCATCTGTTCGAAACAGTTGCTGCTGGGGGCAGCACCGAGCGGTGGATCTGCTGCTATGGAGCATTTCTGCAGTAGGCTCGGGTTTTAAGTAAACACATTTCCCTGGTATGTGCGAGGCTGGTATTGGTTCCTTGGATCCTCCCACATGGATTAACTCCTCGCATACTCTTCTCCTCCCGTGCAGAATCGCAGCCTCTGTATCGGTGCTCCTTAGCTTGCAGCACTCGGTGCACCAGCTCGCTCTTGCTTTTGTCACAAAAGCAGCTTTGCTCCTTCTCTCCCCCCTCCACCACTGTCTTTTGGGAACAGCTCGTGGGTTTGTCGAGGTGCCAGCAGTAACCCCTCGGGTGCTGTATCTTGCTCTCAGGAGGCTGAGCTGTGGATTGAATTGCAGCCCGAGAGAGAAACCATTCGGAACATGGAGCTGAAACGAGCAAAACCAGCTTTTGTTCTCCCTGCCTTATGGAACCTGTAGAGAGCTGTGTGTAAGGGTTAGGCTCTGTGTAAATTGGTGATCGTTAAGCTCTGCGCACGTATCCAGCCAGCCCTTCTCCGACTTCACCAGGGTGGTTAAAAACATGGACGGGTCTAACCTTTTAGACTCTGTGCTCTAGAAGTGAGTTAGAGGTGCCTGACCTGAAACAGGTGGAAGGTGGTCTGATAGGCAGAAGAAATAGGAGGAAAATGAGGAAAGTGGGTTGGTTTGGTTTTTAAAGGAGCATCTTACAAGAGCAGCTGAACAAAAGGACGGTGGGATTGCATTTGATTTGTGCACAAACTGGAAAAGCACGAGGCAGTTCTGCACATCGAGAGATTTCTGTGACAGCTCGCACCAGGGAAGGAAGAAGGGACGACTAATTGAAGCAGCTGGAATACCAAATGAGACCCCGAAAACGTGCCGTTCGGTGCACCCCCGTTCCTGCAGCAGCGGTAGCTACTCTGCTTTTGTAACCTGGCTTTTCCCATCGGCACACTTGGAATCCTTTCCAGTCGTGACTGGGTGCTGCGACATTCAACCTGATGAAAAACCGCTGGAGAAACGCAGATGAACGGCGCACCCGCAGGGAGGGGGACCCCTCCCCAGCCGGGGCATGGAATCGTGCAGATGCTCGACGACTTTCTGCTGCCCTTTTAATAATGCAGCAGCTTGCGGAGGAAGGCAGGAATCCGCCTTCCATCCCTCCCAGGGCTGCTGCGGGCGGCGCCGCACCGTGTCCCGATGCTGGCGGAGCAGTGCCATCGTGCGGATGCCTTCGCTTTGTGATGCCGAGGGCTGAGCCTTTGGCTGCTTTTTTTTTTTTCCCTTTTCATGCCAGAGCCTGAACAAATGAATTCTGATTTCCACTAGCACACGCTTGGCCACTGGAGCTAATGCGGTCTGTTTTGTTAATATATTAGAAACAAATTGTTTAGGGAGGAGGCCAGCTGGATAAATCAGCCTTAATTTATTTTTTTTCCCCGCCCTCCGAGGCTGGTGAAGGAGGGCTGTGCTCTGGGCAACTGCACTGGCACAGATGGGTTGCAGTGGGAGATGGAGAACGAGGTAGACTTTTAGTGCTGTGT